GTGGGGTGGGGTGGGGTGGGTGGTGGTGGCATGGTCACCCCAAAAGCCAAGTGCCCAATGTCTGTCTGTCCCCATCTGGGAGTCCTTGGGGCTGAGCCTGGTGTCCGGGGTCCCCGCCTGCTATACTCTCACATGGGTACCTCCCGCTGCCGCAGTGTGGGAACCTGCCCTTCCGGCGGATCTGCAAGCGCTTCGGGGCGGACGTGACTTGCGGGGAGATGGCCGTCTGCACCAACCTGCTGCAGGGCCAGACGTCCGAGTGGGCCCTACTCAAACGCCACCACAGCGAGGACCTCTTCGGGGTGCAGGTCAGCGCCCACCCTGAGGGAGGGAGGAAGGGAGGAAGCGGGCAAGCAGGGGCCCTCAGGGTGAGCCTCAGGGTCAGGCTCACCCAGGCCGGACTCAGGGATGGGTTGATGGCCTGGCCCACCTCAAAGGTTGGGTGACCTTGGCACGGGTCTGGGTGCCTCACAGACGCCAGCTCCTTCCATCCCCCTGAGGTCCCTGGGAGCCTGGGGACAGAAGGCCGCTGGCTGGAGCCCGAGGGTGGGCACACCCCTCACCGTGCCCTGCCCCTGCACAGCTTGAGGGCGCCTTCCCGGACACCATGACCCGGTGCGCGGAGCTGCTGAACCGCACCATTGAGGTGGACTTTGTGGACATCAATGTCGGCTGTCCCATCGACCTTGTGTACAAGAAGGTGGCAGCCCCTGGCCCTGGAGCCCCAGGCGGGTGGGCAGTGCATAGAGCAGAGGCCTGGGATCTTGCCCGCTGTGCCACTGTGGCAGATTTAGTGCCTTGGTTTCCCCAGCTGAGCCAGCCAGCAGGATAGGCGATGTGGGCACGTGTGGGGCCCTGTGGGGCTCTGAGTGCCTGTCTGGGGCTCGTGTCCACATGTCCTCTTAGCGAGGGTGTGGGGTGCCAGCCAGCCGGGGTCTGCACTCACCACCTCCTCCACTCCCAGGGCGGCGGCTGTGCCCTCATGAGCCGCTCCACCAAGTGCCGGCAGATCGTCCTCGGCATGAACCAGGTGCGCCCAGTGTCACCCTGCACCCCCACGTGTTCCCCACTCGGCCCGGCCCCCGGCCCTGCCCCCAGCCCTCCGCTGCCCCTACAGGTGCTGGATGTGCCGCTGACGATGAAGATCCGCACGGGCGTCCAGGAGCGGACCAACCTGGCCCACCGCCTGCTGCCGGAGCTGCGGGACTGGGGTGTGTCGCTCGTCACGGTGGGTCCCCGGGCGTGGGCATCAGGGCCACCGGGCGGCAAGCCTCCCTGCTGACGGCTCTCCCCTCCCGCCCCCTCGTTGTCTCTGCTCCCTTTCTGTGTTTCGGTTTTTCTCCCTCTGTCTCTCTGGGTCTTGCTCCATCTCTCCTTGTCTTTGTCTGTTCTCTCGTGGCTCTCGGCCGAGCTGTCTTTCTCTCTTCTTATGTCTCTTGGTTTATCTGGGTGTCTCTCTATGTTTCTGGGTCTCTCTCTGTCTCTCTTGGTCTCTCTGTGGCTTTGTCTCTCTGCATCTCTCTTTCCCTGGCCCTGACTCTCTCGGTCTCTCTGTCTCTGTTTTTCTCTGTCTGTCTCTGTCTCTCTCGGTCTGTCTTTCTCTGTCTCTTTCAGTTTGTCTTTCTCTATATCTCTCTCGGTTTGTTTCTGTCTCTGTATCAATTGGTCTGTCTCTCTTTGTCTCTGTATCTCTCTCGATCTGTCTCTCTTTCTGGCTATCTCTGTCTCTCTATATCTGTTTCGGTCTGTCGCTCTCTGGCTGTGTATGGCCCTCGGTCTGTCTCTCTCTCTATGTCTGTCTCTCAGTCCATCTCTCTCGGTCTCCCTCTGCCTCCCTCCCTGTGTGGCTGCCTCTCCCCAGCTCCACGGCCGCTCGCGGGAGCAGCGCTACACCAAGCTGGCCGACTGGCAGTACATTGAGCAGTGCGTCAAGGCCGCCAGCCCCATGCCCCTGTTCGGTGGGTGCCCACACCTCCCTGCTCCACTGCCCACCCCGTGAGCTCACGCCACCCAAGGTCACACCCACGGTGGGGTCACCCCCTCGGAACCCCCCCACCCTGGTGGGGGCCACTGAGCAAGCAGGAAACCCTGGCACCCCTAGACACGTGCAGCCCCCAGAGACCCCCGCTTCTGTTCCCTCAGGAAACGGGGACATCTTGTCGTATGAGGATGCCAACCGTGCCATGCAGACTGGTGTCGCCGGGGTCATGATCGCCCGGTGAGTGAGCCCAGGGTGAGGGGTGCCAAGAGTCCAGCCTGGCCCACCTGGGGCACCCAGCCTGCTGCTGTGGTCACGAGCAGGGGTACCTCAGAACCTGACCTGCTCCCCCACCCCGCCCCGTTGGGTTGTTCATCCCTGGGGGGCTGTGCTAGAACGCAGCCTGCAGTGGTGGGGCAGAGCGAGATCAGGGGTTGCAGCTCAGGGGGCTGGAAGTTTCTGCAGCTGGTTGACATGGATTGAAATTCTTGGGCTTTGAGGGTCATGTGACCACATCTGTGAGGTTTGGGGAGTGGAGGTTTTGGGGTATCAGGGCTCTGGCTTAGGCTGGGGCCATCAGCCCAGGGAGCCATGCTCCTCAGACCAAGCTTAGGCTGGGCGGCGGGTGTGGGCTCAGCGGCACCAGGGCAGGCGGTGGCCGCGGTCTTGGGCTCGGCAGTGGCCCCTCGGCCCCGGCGGGTGGTGGCCGCCCCTGACCACCCTGTCCGCCTGCAGCGGTGCCCTGCTCAAGCCGTGGCTATTCACGGAGATCAAGGAGCAGCGACACTGGGACATCTCGTCGTCCGAACGCCTGGACATCCTGCGGGACTTCACACATTATGGCCTGGAGCACTGGGGCTCAGACACGCAGGGCGTGGAGAAGACCCGCCGCTTCCTGCTCGAGTGGTTGTCCTTCCTATGCAGGTGGTGGCCAGTGGGCAGGGCAGAGACAGCGGGGTCCAACCTGGCCCTCTGCCCCCACTGACCCCTCTCCTGCCGCAGGTACGTGCCCGTGGGCCTGCTGGAGCGGCTCCCACAGAAGATCAATGAGCGGCCACCCTACTACTTGGGCCGGGACTACCTGGAGACACTCATGGCCAGCCAGAACTCGGCCGACTGGATTCACATCAGGTGGGCCCCCCTGTGGGCACCGAGGCGGGGGGCAGCCAGATGGGGGGTGTGCTGGGGAGTGTGGGAGGCCGTTGGGGTCAGCACGACAGGGGGCCCAAGCCTGACCCTTCCCACCCTTCACAGTGAGATGCTGCTGGGACCCGTGCCACCCAACTTTGTCTTCCTGCCCAAGCACAAGGCCAACTCTTACAAGTAGCCGCCGGGCTAGGCGGCGGGCAGTGTCCGAGGGCCAGTGGTCCCCTGAGTGCGTGGAGCAGACAATAAATTTTATTCTTTTAACACTGAGGCTCTTTTGTGACCCTAAGGCTACCGCATCCTGGCCCCCCGTCTATCCTGACACACACAGGTCTGTCCCTGTCTCTGCTGTGCTGTGGGGGCTGGGACCAGGGAGTTCCCTCCTTCTCCCACCCTCTCTGCTGCCTGTCATTCACCAGACTCTCCTGCCTTGTGTCCAAGCCCAAGTTGGGGGATGCTGGTCTCAGAAGGGCCCCAAGGAAGACACGGGCACAGGGAGGGGACTGGGGCCACCACCTGCGTGGGTGTGGATCGGGGCGGGTTGCCTGGAGGAAGCAGCCTGGGACCTGTTAGGTGGGCACTGTGGGCGCAGGTGGGGAGGCGGGGGAGTTGCCTGCCCTTGTCCACGCTGTCTCTGACCAGCCTCAGTTCCCCGTCGGCTTTCTGCCCAACCCCCACAGCCGGAACCCTGGTCACTGGGCAGGCAGCTGCCTGGAACCCGCTGCCCAGAGTAACCAGGCAAACAGAACCCTGCGAGACTGTGAGCCTGCTCTCTGGCCCACCTGCCTACGTTCCTGTCTGCCTCCCTCCTGGCTGGCTAGGCCGGGCCCCTGCCTCCCCATGCAGCACCCCAAACCCTTCTATGCGGCCCCTGCTCCCCAAGAAGGCTTCAGTCCCCGGGGCCTGGACAGCGCTGAGGGGCCAGGCAGCCAGCCCGAGGCCTGCTCGGAGGCAATCCCCGCAGTGGGTAAGGGGCCCCCTAGAGAAGTGTGTGGCCAGGCCAGGGTCTAGAGCCCCACCCACTCAGCTCAGCATCCGCCCACCGCCTCTGTCTGCAGGTTCCTCGAACCTGTATCACCCCTTAAACCCAGAGAAAGAGGTGTTTCCAGCTCCTCCGGCAGGTACTGGCCTCCCGTCACCCTCAGAGGACCTGGGGAGTGAATCCCAGTGGGTAGAGCCCCTGTCCCTGCCCCCTAGGTGGGGTGGGAAAGCAAGGGCTGTGTCCCCCACGCCCATGGGCCCTCTAGGACAAGGCCTGTGTCCCCACCCCCCATGGGTCCCCCAGGACAAGGCCCGTGTCCCCCACCCCCCCATGGGCCCTCTAGGACAGGGTCTGTGCCCCCCACCCCACCATGGGTCCCCTAGGACCAGGCCCGTGTCCCCCACCCCTATAGGCCCTCTAGGATAAGGCCCATGTCCCCCACCCCGATAAGCCCTCTAGGACAAGGCCTGTGTCCCCCACCCCACCATGGGCCCTCTAGGACAAGGCCTCTGTTACTATCCCCCATGGGTCCCCCAGGACAAGGCCCGTGTCACCCGCCCACCATGGGTCCCCCAGGACAAGGCCTGTGTCCCCCGCCCCCTCATAGGCCCTCTAGGACAAGGCCCATGTCCCCTACCCCCATAGGCTCTCTAGGGCAAGGCCATGTCCCGCACCCCTCATGGGTCCCCCAGGACAAGGCCTGTGTCCCCCACCCCCTATGGGCCCTCTAGGACAAGGCACGTGTCCCCCACCCCCCCATGGGCCCTCTAGAACAAGACACGTGTCCCCCACCCCCCCATAGGCCCTCTAGGACAAGGCCCATGTCCCCACCCCTGCCCCCGTGGGCCCTCTAGAACAAGGCCTGTGTCCCTCATCCCCCAGTGGACCCCCTAGGACAAGGCCCATGTGCCCCAGTCCCCCATGGGCCGTCTAGGACAAGGCCCGTGTCCCCCACCCCCCCATGGGCCCCCTAGGACAAGGCCCGTGCCCTCACAGGAGCCCCTCTCAGGCTGCCCCTTGCCCCGGCCGCAGGTTTCCAGATGGCCCCATGTGGCTGCTTCTTTGACCCCCGCATCTACCGCATCGAGTGGGCCACCTCCGACTTCGGCCAGTCCTCCCTGTACAAGCTGGTAGCAGTGGGTGGGGGGGGGCCGGCAGGGGGCCCGGCCGGGGGCCCTGCCTCCCCAGGCACCTACCTCCTGGAGCCCCAGCACTACCTCAAGGCCCCAGTGCCCCCGCCACCGCCCCCATACCCGCACTACCAGCCGGTGCCGGGGGCCCCCCAGTACCTCGTGCCCTACTTCCCACCCGAGGGGCCTGGCCCCGAGGCCCTGGGCTTTGCGGGCGACGGGGGGCCCCCGGCCTTCGTGGAGCTGCCCCCGCCGCCGCCGCCCAAGGACAAGCTGCCGCCGCTGCTCATCACGCTGCCCACTGAGCCACTGTTGCCACCCGGCCCCTACAGCCACCTCAAGGGTCGCCTCAGCCAGTTCCACGGGCCCGAGGTGGCCGCTGCCCGGC